CTCCAGCCCCAATTTCTTCCAAATTGAAATGTTCCACCCTGGAGGGAACTCAAGTCTCTGTAAGTTCTGAAAGAAGGCTTATTAAGGCTCAGGCAGTAAACAACTCCCAAGTCTCAAGAAGTACCTGAAACTTACCAGGTTCACAAGGCCTCTCTCTCCTCGAGGCTATATACTGCCGAGGAGAGGGGATGCTGACCTCCTGGTCTGCCTGTAAGTTGTGCAGAGAGCTCCAGGTTCTTGCTTTCGGGAGTCATCACCCATGCTGGGGCAAGCTTTTAATGATGCAGCTGTCTTTGGGTTGTCCATGCTCCTGCAAGTAACCCCTCACCATCTCCTCTAAGTAACTCTGTAAACTCACTGGATCACTGAGTTGGACTTCGGTGGTATTGTTATTTTGATCTGTCATTGGTTCCCTATCTGGAATGAGTGGCAGGGGTGAGTATTATGTTTCCCCAGAAAAGAAGTCTCACACAATATTATTTTATTCAGTTGACCCAGAACTATTTATTCAAGAGACCATACTGAATCCTCTGCTGTTAACCACAGGACTGTGTATGTATTCACCTATTTCTGGGCCATACTTGAGAAGCAGTTAATAGTTAAACTTATTCTCTGTTGGTATTTGGATTCTTTTCTCAGGGAGAACTTATTATAGTCACTATTGTCAAGGCATCATTTCATCTGAATCACTTCGTTTTAAACTCCATCAATCCTTGTAATACAGTTATTCATATCATCCCATTTTATTGGTAAGGAAATTAAGACTTAGAGAGTGAAATAATTTGCCAGAGTTGCCTAGCTTATGAGTGGCAGGAACATGACTCCAGGGAAATTCTAGTTGACTGTGAAGTCAGAGAAGCTTTTGATAGGGGAAGACAGTCATGATATTATGCTCACAGGAGAGAGATGGAGAGGACAAGGGCCCTACAAGAAGACAGGCTGGAGAGATGGTTCTGTGGTGAAGAGCATATAGTGCTCTTGCAGTGCATCTGGGTTTGGTTCCCAGTACGCATATGGCAGATCTTAACTGTCTGTAACTCCAGTGCCAAGTGTTCTGATGCCATCTTCTGGCCTCTCTGGGAACTGCATGCATATGATGTACATACATAGAGGCAAAACGCATAAAATACGCATAAAATAACAATGAGTTAAAAATCTTTAGAAAAGAATAAAGAGATAGAGAATGCCTAAACAAAAGTATGAAAATGTCAAAATTTTTCACAGAAGATGTATCTTATCATTTTTGTGTGCTTTGCTCGCGTTTCAAATTCCCCTGAAGCGAATTCATTTTTTCATCAAGGAACTGTTTGTTTGTTTGCTTGTTTGTTTGTTTGTTTGGTTGGTTTTTTAAAGTAGCTCTCCTAGGCTCCATTAGAATGCTTACAACCCTTCAATCTTCTCAGCTTTAAATACACCTTTAGTTCCTCTATCCATCATCGTGTGTGCTCAACTGGCCACAACTTCCATCATTATTCCTTCAACTACTAAATTATTTCTCTCAGTTCCCAACACTGCCTGCCATCTGTTCTGATGAACTCCTCACTGCCCCCCCCACTTCCTGTTTTTCTGCATTCTGTTAAAGAGATAATATATTATTAAAACACTACACATAGTGTCTCCTTTTCAAAACAACAGCAAACACTTATTAACCCTTACTATGAGCCAGGAATGACACCGGACCCTTTAAATACATCTAAACTGATTTTCACATCCTTGCCCAGCTAAAATACCACCCTGTATTTTATACTCTCCTTTAGCACTAACCAAATGCCAAAGCCTAGCATTCATGAACATTCTAAATCTGCCCTCAAGTTCTCTCTTTCTTTGCTCATGGTGTCTCTTCACAGCAATAGAATGTAAGACACCATCTCTCCAACACATGCTTTGTTTTATGAATAAGAGAAAGAAGCACAGATCTGACTCTGGAAGTTGATAAAGGTTTGGAGCTGGGCAGCACTGTCCTTCACTACTCCTTTTTAAAAATTCTGCATTCATGGCTGGTATTAAAAACATAACTTGATATTTCACCACCACTGCCATCACACATCTTCTCTCACCATTATCTCATATCTGCCATAGCATTTTGTTACTTTAGGTTACATAACATCAGTGCACATTTACATTTTTGTAAACATCAATAACACAGCTTACAGCCTGGGACCCATATGTTTTCATATACCATATACTTACGGTATATGATCAAATACATTAATTTTATTATTTTATATGCTTTGTCTTTCTAGCTAGCCAGACTTTGAGATAAAGGTTTTTACATGCCTGTGTTCACAACAACTGCCCCGCCCAGAGCAAGTACTTAATGGGTGCTTGTATCATTTAATATTGAATTGTAATAGCTTACTTGACATTTTCCATCAGGTAGATTTTATGTCCTGTGTTGTTTCAAATTCAGATTATGTGATCTATCTATAGCATATATTTTGTATTTAATGTCTCCAGTACCTGCTGACCTCAAAGCAAAAAAGGAAACCTTTGATTGAATGGGAACTAGAAACACATATCAAATCAGAAACTGCTTCCCACAGAATCATGAGCTGAGGGATAGGAGCTAAACTGTGTAGGAAGGAAAGGGCTGCCCAGCTCCAAACCTTTATCGACTTGCAGAGTTGGATCTGTGCTTCTTTCCCTCACGTGTAAACAAAGCATGTGTTTGAGAGATGGTGTCTTACATTCTATGCTGCAAAGAGACACCAAGAGCAAGGCAACTTATAAAAGAAAGCATTTAACCAGGGGCTTGCTTACAGTTTCAGAGGGGGAACTCATGACCATCATGGCAGGGAACTTGGTGGCAGACGGGCATGGTTCTGGACCAGTAGCTGAGAGCTCACAATGGATCCACAAGTTACAGGCTGCAGGTAGAGGATAGACAGAGATTAGATAGATAGATAGATAGATAGATAGATAGATAGATAGATAGATAGATACGATGGATGATAGATGGATGGATGGATGGATGGATGGATAGATAGATATGATGGATGGATGGATGGATGGATGGATGGATGGATGGATGGATGGATGGATAGATAGATAGATAGATAGATAGATAGATAGATAGATAGATAGATAGATAGATAGATAGATAGTGGGCCTCTGGACTTTTGAAACCTCAAAGCCCACTGTAGTGACACATATCCTCCAACAAGTCCACAGCTATTCATTCCATCAAGGTCACGCCTCGTAATCCTTCCCAAACATTTCAATAAATGAGGAGCAAGCGTTCAAATGTATGAGTCTCTATTCTCATTCAAAACCACCACATTTGGCAAAGCTGTTGAAAGGCTTGCTGCTCTTTCAGAGGACCAGAGTTTGGTTCCCAGTACCCACAATAGTTGGCCCACACCACTCTGAACTACTGTTCCGGGGCTTCCCACACAGAGTTCTGTTCTCCACATGTAATGTAATATAGAGAATCAGGCACACACACATACACACAAAATTAAAAATTTAAAGGGGGTCTACAACAGTGGCACAGAGTTGTTAGAAAAGCAAAATTAAGTAACAAATAAAAGATGCTAAAAAAGAAATAAAAATGCTAATATATATCGAATATTGTATAAAGGAGTTGGATATAAGGTATAGATGTTCTTGACTTTATTAGTAATAAATAAAAGAACAAAATATTTGGTTTTTAGATATTTATCAAAAATGGCTGCTTCACAAAATAATTCAATGTATTATAATAGTGAAGTATGAGGATTCCTGTTGTCTTTAGTTTCTTAAGGAAATACTTTTGTCGCAGTATAGTTCAAATGCGTCTTGAAATACATGAATTTGTAATCATGGAACTAACAAGATCACATTCACTGCTCTGGGTAAATCAGGATGTATCTACAATTTACTGCCAGGAATGAAAAGAAGTCTGGTACTGACTGACAGGGATATTGTTATCTACTGTTTAGGATTAAAGATGTAAAAATTAATGTGTATTAAGTGCCAGATTTTTTCTTAAAATGGGCCTGCTGTGAAAGCCAGAGGCATGTCAGTCCTATTCAACGAATGTTTTAGTAGCTCCTGTGATTTCAAAGACACGATGTTGGGTGAGAAGGATGAGATGAATAATTGCTGCTCCTGGAGGGAGAAAAGATCTGAACCCAGTGGAAAGGGGAGTGGGACGTCACGGTGTAGGACAAGCAAAGTACAGGAATAACTAGTGGGGCTTAAGATAATTTAATTTTGCCTTTAAAAAAAAATTCTATTTTGGATGCCCTTTCGCACGTGCCAGGTCGCTTATTGGCCGAGAATCCGCCACCCTGTGAAATCTTTCCCATTCCTCCTTTCTTTCTTTCCTCGCCAATTCGATTTCTTCAGCCGCCAGCACTGCATTTGGAACAGTATCTATTGTGTGGGTGGCGGAACGCGGAGAAGCTATTTTTGTTCTAATTTTGAGCACTGTTTTCCTGGGGGAAGAGGAGGGTAATAAGGCAGATCTGAGGCTGAGCCGCTTGCTGGGCGAGGATGCTCCGTGGAGGCGTTACTAAGGTTACTAGAGAGAGGACCGCAGGCGACAGGCAGGGCTTTTTCTATAGCAAGATATATTTTCCAATGAAGAACGTGGGCTTGGCTGCGGGCAGTGCCACATTGTACTACATGCTGGATTCCCCAGAGGGAAAGGGAGGTGGCCAAGGGGGAAAACGAGGGACCAAATCAGGCAGCCTCCGCTTCCTCTTCCGGGCTTTTTCTTCCGCCGTCCTTGTTTTCCCCCCGAGCTTTTCTGGCTGCAACACCAGGTCGGAGCGCTAGAGATCGGTGCCTTGTAGATGTGACACGCCTCCGAGCCGGCCGGAAGCTGCTCCCAGGCGGTACCCGTAGGGACAGGCGTGCGGCGGGCGGTGGCGGTGCGCGGGCGGCGGCGCTGTGCGGCTCGGTAGGACCGGCGCAGACCTGCAGCGGCTCGCTGAGGCCGTGGGTCGTCGTTGCAGCTGCCGCGACTCTTGGGGCGAACTTGGCAGGCAGAGAGGAGCGGAAGGGAAGGGGTGTGTGTAAAGAGGGCCGTGGGCGTATTGGGTGTCGGAGAGGACTCTGAAACTGGTTCCTCATAGTGGTTGGTTGTAGTTTTTATTTTGACAGATTCTGGGGGCAGCAGATGCACCCCGTTCTCTCGATATTTTCTTAACTCCAGTCGGTTGATAGCATGATTTGAGTGGGAGCTTTTTAGTGAAGCTTCTGAGTTAAGGTAGCTTATGGGATTGGGGAAGCTGCCAGAGGAAAAATAAATGGGGGAGTCGGAGCAGGGAAGTGATGTCGGGGATGAGGGGTCGAGATGATCTACTAGTTCATATTTACAGGGTTTACTGTACCAGATACTGCCCCAAACCCTTTAAGCTTGGTGGCTCATTTACTCCTTCGAGGTCTGGCCTCCTGTTAACCTTTACGTAAGTGGGGAAGCTGAGGCCCAGAGAGATCAAGGAACACTTACAAAAAAAAAGAAAAAGAAAAAAAGAAAGTGAAAAGAAAAGAAAAAGAATGAAAAAAGCAAGCAAGAAAGAAAGATAAATGAAAAGCATCTGTGCCAGACTTTGAATTCTGCTAAAGTCCCAGGCTCCACAGTGTGGTTTCCCATCATCAAAGTAAGAAGAAAGTGAGGTTGTAGGATCAGAGTGTAGTTTAATTTGAACAGCTGTGATAAGATGTTGGCCTGCTAAAAGTTGTGAAGTCTCGAGGTATAGGGCAGTGATAGATGTCAGCCAGGGAAGGTGGGAAACCGTGGTCTGCAAACCTGTGTCTCCAGGCTTGGCTGTGGTCTTCTCTTTAGCAGTTGGTGGGATAGGGAAGAGAGATATAAACACACACACCCCTAAGTTTGAAAATGGAATTACAGAGACTCGTAGAACTCAACGATTTGACATAGCTACCTCTTTAACAGGTGAATAATACCCCAAGAGATGGAGTGACATAAGGAAGGTAGTAGAGAATAGAAGCATTGTCCTAGCTGTACTGGCCTGTACAAATGCTAAAGTTAATGCCACTGTGCCTGGACTGGTTCCTTTCAGCAGTGATGCTAATAATGTGTGCCCCAAGTTCTGTGCACTTGCTGACACAAATACTAAACCAAAAATACTGTCACCTGACCTGGACTGGCTCCTTTCAGCCTCAGGAATTGAATATTGATGACATACAATAGTGAAATAAACCCATCTGTACCCCTGCTTCTCCGTGTTCCAGGTTCTGTGTAATGCAGGAATCAGATGTCTTTTCAAACTGAGTGACCGCTGAGGCTTTTCAGCAACTCCAAGAATGTCAGTCTAAAAATAAACAATAAGACTGACCAAGCCAAGGGGTAAGGTGATTTATTTTGAGGAAACTTCAAACAAAACAAAACTCACGTTTAAAAAATTAAGGGAAGATTTTTAACCAGTTGACAGTGTACTGTTTACAAACACTAATTCTGGTAAGTTGCGCCTAATCATATTCCCAAGAAACGATTGAAACTGGGGCCTTAAGAATCAAGCAGATCAGTTTAGCTTTTTGCTTTGTAAAATTGATTTTGCCCTTGACTCTTCTCATTCCTAAAATATAAGTACTTGTTTTTAACTTGAAAAGTCAAAAGCATTGTTTGTAAAGTACTTAGCACGGTGTCTATGACAAAGCGATTATATAGTTCAATTCATTGCTTAATAAGAGAGACACTTTGGAAATACATCTTATGGCAATTTCTTCATTGTTCAACCATCACAGGGTATATTTACTCAGTGGTACAGCAATCACCCACACCACAGACAGCCTGAAAACTACTATACATAATATACCTCATGTTATTGTAATTATTACTTAGATAATTGTAATATAATGGTATTTGCACATTAGGCATATAAAATGTGTAGTTGAAGTACTGGGCAATAATTCCTCACCTTTATAAATACTTTCAGTGGTCTGTCAATGGCTGAAACATCTTTAGGAGTTAACGTACTACACAGTAACTATTGTGAGTCAAGTGCAAGTGATGCATTACTGCCCCTTGCATACAGTCACTTGCAGCATCCAGGCTTAGGTTTCACTGGGAAAAAGGCCAATGATTAACTTCTCTAACAGCAATGAAAGGTAGCAAACATTGGTGCACTTCTAAACTATCAGTCCATTATTTCAAAGGGAACGAAAGTTTTAGATGGCTGTATAGCCCATAGACCGTGATCTTCCTGCCTTGTCTTATAAACCTTGTGCTCTTTGAGATCACTTGGTTTTCACGCTTGTGTTTCCTGAATATTTGGCAGCTCAAGGTCTACACAGCTGACTTCGTACTCTTTTGCAGATGCACGGGCATGGAGGTTATGACTCTGATTTTAGTGATGATGAGCAAGGTGGAGAATCCAGCAAGAAGAAGAAGAAGTAAGTCTTTATTGGTCCGTAGTTCACATTATTTCTATATTGACATGAGGTATAAGTAAATAATATTGAAAGGTTTGGGATTGAGTTTGCATATGGAAACAACTGCTGTAGCAAGTGAGGTTTTATTCATTACACTAATAAATGGATTTAAATTTGGAGATAGTTGTGGGAAAAATGAAGTTTTGTTGGGAAGGGGTTTATTGAAAGGGATGGTGGGAAAAGGAAAGATTTCTTTATTGCTTGTGTTTTGTTTTCATTTGTTAAGACCTGTGTGTCTGCAAATGTCACAGCTCAAAGGGGGTTTAGTTGCTAGTGCTTGCTTTTCAAGTGAGGTCCGTGTGGAGGATGAATTGTAATTCAGAACATTTGTGATGTTTACTTGAATGAGCAGGTCAGTGGAGGGAACTCATGGGGAGTTTTATTGAGTTGGGGGACCAAGATCCTCTAGCACAAAAGCCTGGGTGTCACAAGGAGGACAACACAATTTTGTTGTTTTTTCTATTTTCTGAGACAGGGTTTTATTATGTAGTTGAGCTGGCCTGGAATTCCCTGTGTGGCCCAGGCTGTCCTAACTCACAATCTTGTCTTAGCTTCTCAAGTGCTGGGAGTCCAGATGTGAGTGTTTAGAGGCATTGTTCTTAGCTTTCAGTGCTTAGAAACTCCCTATGTATTGACATCAGAGTGCTTGATTTGTACTAATGGAACTCAGAGAAATTGGTTTATTATTCCACAGTAAGACTAATATGTCAGGTTTGCTAACTAGAACTGAGCATTTTATGAGATCATCAGACTTCATGAATAACACAAAGAACAGTAGTAATTATAAAATATTATAACAATGTAAGTTCTCTAGATTTTCATTAAGAAACATTACTTTCGGGCTGGAGAGATGGCTCAGTGGTTAAGAGCACTGCTGCTTATTCCAGAGGTCCTAAGTTCAATTCCCAGCAACCACATGGTGGCTCACAACCATCTGTAATGAGATCTGGTGCCCTCTTCTGGTCTGCAGGTGTACATGCAGACAGAACACTGTATACATAATAAACAAACAAACAAACAAATAAAACTATACACATATAATATTTTAAAAAAAAAAAGCCGAGCGGTGGTGGTGCACACCTTTAATCCCAGCACTTGGGAGGCAGAGGCAGGTGGATCTCTGTGAGTTCGAGGCCAGCCTGGGCTACAGAGTAAGTTCCAGGAAAGGTGCAAAGCTACACAGAGAAATCCTGTCTTGAAAAACAAAACAAAACAAACAAACAAAAAAACCCAAACAAAAAAAAATTACTTTCTGGTCTGAGGATGTAATTAAGTTGGTAGAATACTTGCCTAGGGTACATGAAGTCCCAGGTACAGTCCCTAAGAATAGAATTTGAGCAAATTTAGTTTGATACTTATGGTCTAGGGTTCTGTTTATCTATATCGATAAGGCTCATCATTTGTGGTCAGTGTCCTATATAGTCAAACTTTCTTTTACATATTTCTTTAATTGTTAGATCTTTATTAAAGTTAAGTCTTTAATTCTTTGCACTTATGTGTTAAGTTACTTTTCTTGTTGTGAACCAGTGCCTGAGAAGAAGCAACTCTAAGGTTAGTTTTGGCTCAGGATTTAAGAAAGGGTAGAGTCAGGGGAGACGCCTGGAGACAGGAGCAGGAAGGGGTACAGTCAGGAAACACCTGGAGACAGCAGCAGGAAGGGGTACAGTCAGGTAAACACCTGGAGACAGCAGCAGGAAGGGGTACAGTCAGGAAATACCTGGAGACAGCAGCAGGAAGGGGTACAGTCAGGAAACACCTGGAGACAGCAGCAGGAAGGGGTACAGTCAAGGGAAACACCTGGAGACAGCAGCATGAAGAAGCTGGACGTGTTGTGCCAACAGCAGTAATGAAGTGAGGCCCAGGTTATGAAACCACAATCCATCTGCAGTGATCCACTTCCTGCAGCAAGGCCCCACCTTGCTAAAATAGCATGGCCAGCTGGAGACCAAGTGTTCAGTTGTAGTTATAGGAACCTTTTGGCCTTAAAATGCCACAGCTGAGGTGCAGGTCACTGGTGGAATGCTTGTTGAGCAATCATAAACATGAAAAGTTAGTCTGTACCCTTCAAGAAAAATGAACTGTTTTAATAATTTTTCTTCTTAATACACTAGGACAGTCGAAGATGAGTTGCTGCTTACAAAACCATTTCAAAGAGAAAAACATGGAAAGGTGGCCCATAAGCAAGTCGCCGCGGACCTGCTGGACAGGTGTGGTGTTTTGGTGTTAGAACATTCCTTGGTTTAAGCTGGTTTATAATCTTGGGACAAGTAGATTTCATTATGTTAATGAAGTATGGATATTTGAATTTACTTAAACTTTTTTTTAACAGGGAGGAAGCAAGAAATAGAAGGTTTCATCTCATTGCTATGGATGCTGTATCCTTTTTATAGTCCTGTTTTTATAACTAATAGAATATTTCAAAATCTGCTTGTTAACCTATTGTATTTTAATTTTTAAAAATGAAAATCTTGTCAAGTCAGATAGACCAGTTTTATATTTACAGGTTAGTAATCATTTCTATAGATATTTACTATTTATATTTCAGGTATAATTCTCTGTTGCTAATATATGGGAAGAATTTAGAGTAAAATAATGCAAAGTACTAGTTTTGTTCTATAAACAGACTTAAAAGTCCACGAACTTCCAGCCGTTCCAGCCTGTTCTTGTCAGGCTCTCCAGATTTCCCTTTTCCGGTCTTGTCTTCTGTAGTACCGTTTTAATCTATTCCCTTCTCACCGGGTTCTCGGCTGTTTCCAATTTTCCGCAGAACTTTTGTGTTAAATTAAACTGCCAGTGTGCCATCCTAGGCTGCTGTCACCCTGCTCCTCGGGTATGACTGGAGACTGTCTGAGTCCGTCGACTGGCTCACAGCACTTCTGCTCCGCCATCACACTGCTGCGGGACGTGAGAGCAGGAAGGGCCGGGCAAGACCTGCGGGGTGCGAGCGCCTGCTCCCAGGACATGAGAGAGCAGGAAGGGCCGGGCAAGACCTGCGGGGTGCGGGTGCGAGCGCCTGCTCCCAGGACATGAGAGAGCAGGAAGGGCCGGGCAAGACCTGCGGGGTGCGAGCGCCTGCTCCCAGGCCAGGACTGAGGAAAGGAAGCCCCACACTAGAGTCACATCACTCCCTTTCATGTCATTCCTTCAGGTTGTTGTGTCCTAGGTCTTTTTTTTGATCTCTTCCTTCCTAACCCTTTGGAAGCTTGGATTCGCTTCCAAATGGGTCTTCTCACATAAACATTTAAACATACGGTCTACCGTCTCCGACACCTTCATTGAAGGGGTTAGGGCACCTAGTGAGAATGAAAGTGTAGGTGCTATTTTTCGGTGTGGATGTTGTTTTGTTTTCTTGGTTGTTTAGCTACAGTGGAGTAGTTATGTTAAAAATTAGTGGTCTTGCTGGGTGTGATTGTGCTCACCTTCGGTCCCAGCATTCAGGAGGCAGAGGCAGGCAAATCTCTGGATTTGAGGCCAGCCTGGTCTATATAGCAAGCTCCAAGCCACCCAGGTCTGCATAGTGGGATCCTGTCTCAAAACAAAACAGTCAGTGATCTTCCTGGAATGACTCTTGGCCTTTTAAAGGTGAGGGAGGCCAGGCTGTTGTTAGGGAAATCAGGCTGGTGGTGAGGGAGAGCAGGTTGTTAGGGAGATGGAGCAGGTTGTTAGGGAGATAGAGCAGGTTGTTAGGGAGATGGAGCAGGTTGTTAGGGAGATGGAGCAGGTTGTTAGGGAGATGGAGCAGGTTGTTAGGGAGATAGAGCAGGTTGTTAGGGAGATAGAGCAGGTTGTTCGGGAGATGGAGCAGATTGTTCGGGAGATGGAGCAGGTTGTTAGGGAGATGGAGTAGGTTGTTAGGGAGATGGAGCAGGTTGTTAGGGAGATGGAGCAGGTTGTTAGGGGGATAGAGCAGGTTGTTAGGGGGATAGAGCAGGTTGTTAGGGAGATGGAGCAGGTTGTTAGGGAGATGGAGCAGGTTGTTAGGGAGATGGAGCAGGTTGTTAGGGAGATGGAGCAGGTTAGGGAGATGGAGCAGGTTGTTAGGGGGATGGAGCAGGTTGTTAGGGAGATAGAGCAGGTTGTTAGGGAGATGGAGCAGGTTGTGGGTGAGGATGGGCAGACTGTTGTTGTAATTGTTTCAGTCTGTGCCTAGTAGTGTTTTCAAGTTGCTAGTCTCATCTCTAAATGTGGGCTAGATGAGGCAAAAAGAAAGCTTAGGGAATGTAGTTCAGCGTAAGGACAATCCCTGGTGTTCCTGTCAGTCACCACCTTTCACAAGCTTGTATTTGTATTTATATATAATGCCCAAAATTGGAGTTGTTAATGTGAGGAATCGGGAGGAGAACGCCTTGGAAACCAAGCTCCACTGACAAGTTTTGTTCAGGAGAGGTTGTGTTGACCACAGCCCTGCCTGTTGCCTCTGACTGCCTTGTGTTATACTAGCAGAGCTGAGCAGTGACAGCAGAGACGTGAGATTGCAAAGCCTGCAGAATTGATCACCTAGCTCCTTATGGAAAAAATTAGCTGCTCTAACAGATGCCCATTTAGTGGTAGTTGAAGAATTTGAACCCAGGCCTTGAGGTATTTGGGCTTCTCCCCACTCAATTTCATGTTCTGATTGAATATTGAATACATTATGATCAGTGAAATCACTGTGTCTTTAAGGGTGTGATCACAGAAGTTGAGACAGCTCAGCTTGCACATGCTTGAGTGTGGAGAATGTTGCCAAGGTTTTAAAAATAAACATTAAATGTCCATAAATCTTGTTATAGTGCATGGAAAATAAAATGATTTTGTGGATTCTTTGAATATTAAAGTTAAAAAAAAAACTGACCACAATTAATTTATTCTGTTTCTTTTCTTCTTGAGACACTGTCTCACTCTAGCCCAGGCCGACCAGGAGCTCCGGCTGCTCCTCCTGCCTCAGCCTCCTGAATGCTGGCATTACAGGTACCAGCCACCATGTCTGCCCTTCTGATTTCTTGTTTGCTTTTGAAACCTTAATGTTGGTGGCACTTAATTTTATGAACGTTACATCCTATTTTATATACTTTATCATTAATTATTATTACATTGTATAATAATGGACGATAAATTCTACTTTTTCCCTGTAATTTAGAAGCCACAATTTCTTTATTTGTAATATTATTAGACTGGATGAGAGAATGAGGTTGTGTGCAGTCTAGAAACAGAACAGAAAGCTTCCTCTTCCTCCAATGGTTGTACACTTTTATCACAAGAATAATGTATGCATGAAGATTCCAAACATTACAAGTAATACATGCTTGAAATGTTTTCAAGCAGAAAGTGAAAGTCTACCATACACTTGTCTGTCTTGATTTAAAAATGCTAGACAGGCCGGGCGGTGGTGGCGCACGCCTTTAATCCCAGCACTCGGGAGGCAGAGCCAGGCGGATCTCTGTGAGTTCGAGGCCAGCCTGGACTACCAAGTGAGTTCCAGGAAAGGCGCAAAGCTACACAGAGAAACCCTGTCTCAAAAAACCAAAAAAAAAAAAAAAAAAAAAAAAAATGCTAGACAGACTCATACCTTACTTTCTTTTCATTTAGTAATATATTGCAATGGAACAACTCTTGAATAGTTATAAAAATCCTTAATGTTTTGCATTTCAGTATCAAAGGCACACAAAATTTGTAAATGACTATATTTTGTACTATGGTGGCAAAAGGGAGGACTTTAAGCGCCTGGGGTAAGTATTGTGAAGTTTACATGGGATGTAGGGCAAGTGTGGATGGTTTTCTAGGACCTCTGTTACATCTTCCTTGGCAGCAGGCTTCAGGTAGCTTCCTCACTGTTGAGCCGGGTATGATGTGGGAAATAACGGTATGTGTGAGAAATACTCCTGTGTCTTGTTGACGAAGATCTTTGAAACAATGACATGTTTAAACTGTAGTATCCAGGATTGCTTTTGCAAAATAAGTCAATGTCCAAGAGACTCCAAACACTATAGGCTATTGCTGTTGCTCTTGTCTGAAGATAAGTCCCTACTGCTGAAGACACCAGATACTTAGGACACATGATCCAGAAAAGGATCTGAAAGCTTCCTTCCTAAGCCTCACTTTCATGGTACCAGAAGGAGCCATGCAAGTTTCCAAAGGAGGGAAGCAACCAGTAATTATATACGTTCGCGTGTGTGCGTGCATAACAATTGAAAAAGTGGCCATGAATTTGAATGAGAGCATTGGGGAGAGTATGTGAAAGGGGCTGGAGGGAGGAAAGGGAAGGATAGAAGTGATGTAATTATAATCTCAAAAAGTAAAAACATTATTAATAAAGTAAGGCAAACAAGAAACTTCACTCTGGAATTTCCCACACTTGAAAATTCTTCCTGTGTTCAGGCTCTTGGTCTTGAATGGATTTCCTCTGTTTAATTTCTGAGTAGGTAGGGCCCTAAAGACTTTAGCACACTGTCTTAGCGATCCCAATTTTATCCCCCCTATCCACTGAGCCCATACTGCTCAAATGTTTATTCTGCTTCCAAACTGAGCATCCTTATTTCTCTTCCTCCTTTACTGGTCTTCCCAGGAAGCTACTGAAATGATGTAACATTACATATTATTGAGGGTTACTTACATGGATCTATTCTGAAACTTTTTTTCATTCTCATTTTCTCACTTAGTCCGTTCAGCTTTCTCATCCTTGCTTTGGCAACATAGCACCATATGTAAATTATACCACCTTAGAAGTGAATGAATTGTTTCTCTACTGAACTTGCTCCTTTCTTGCACTTTTCCCAAAAAAGCTTCTGAAAATATTGAAATTGTTGTTTTAAATAAAAATTTCCAAATAGAACTGTACTTTTTTATTTATATTTTATTCAAGTTTTCAAAATTTTCAGCACTGTTTAACCTAAATCTGACTAATTTATTTTTATACTCAATTAAAATTTTTGTTTTCTAGGGAGAATGATAGGACAGACCTGGATGTTATACGAGAAAACCATAGGTTCCTGTGGAACGAGGAGGATGAAGACGATATGACTTGGTAACTTTATTACAGTTTATTTATTTTGTGTGGAGGTGGAGGTCAAAGGACAACTTGAAAGAGTTGGTTCTGTTCTTTCTCTGTGGGTCCCAGAGTTCACCTCAGGTCATCAGCCTTCGTGGCAGGACACTGCACTGGTTGAACCGTCTTGCCAGTCTGATGGCTTGGAAATTTCAGCCATTAGCCTCTGATGAAGCAGATGTTTTAGTCTTGTCTCTCTTATTCTGATTTCTCTTTTATTATCATTTATTAAAGATGTTACTATTTTATTTACATGTGTGAGTATGTATCTGTGTGTGTGTGTGTGTGTGTGTGTGTGTGTGTGTGTGTGTGTGTGTGTGTGTGTGTGTATGCCACATGTGTGTGGGAACCCGAGGAGGCCTGAAGAGGGCATCAGATTCCCTGGATCTAGAATTACAGGTGGTTGTGAGCCACCCAGCATGGGTGTTGGGAACTGAACTGAGGTCTCCTGAAGAACAGACAGCACGTGTTCTCAATCACTGAGGCATCCCTCCAGCACTGGTCACTGTTGTCTTATCCATGGCATTCAGCTCTTTATAGGACAGCTTCTGAATCAAGGGTAAAACAACTTACATTTAGGATTCTTGATTCTGGTTTGCTTCCGTGGCTAATCTTAGGCAATTTTAATTAGCTTCTAATTGTTTGACCTCATCTTCAGACATAATTATTATATTGTTTGTTGTCTTATAATTAGCTATTCTATGTTTCTTATAAAATGTTTTGAATATTTGGGGAAAAAGAATCATGAAAGTGGTTTTCAAAGTCCAGACATCACAAAGGGTAATAAATGAAGAGTAATTCTATTTCTCATTTCTCTAAGTCCATCAGTTTCTGAGAGAGCCACCATTAACAGTTCATCTCCAGATAGTCAGCACATCTGTCTTTATTAGGCCTCTTTTAACATTAATATTTACATCTTATATGTTACCTATTTGATATCGCTTCAAAGTAGCAAACTGTAGTTGAATTTTTAAATGTATAATGCATACTCTTTATGGATTTAGGGAGAAGAGACTTGCAAAGAAATACTATGATAAATTATTCAAGGAATACTGTATCGCCGATCTCAGTAGATACAAAGAAAATAAGGTATGCCCTATGAATATTTATAGCTAGAGTTCTAAATGTTCAAGTAGAGCATTAATTTTTATTAACTACCATGACCCACATTATTCTTTCATGGCACTGATTTGAATCTTTTTTCTTGCACTTTGCAATATCATTTTGACTGCTTAACTTCTGTGGTCATGGGGCTTACAAAGGGTCTATGGAATTTATGAAGGACGGGGTGCTTTTTGTTTGTGAGATCAGCCATAAAAAGTCTGAACTTACACACAGCTAGCAGCTGGTCCATCCGGCTCTCATCTTGAACCTCTAGTGACTGAGCACTGCAGAGTGGTGTCTCATTTCACAGATCATGCTTGAAATTAATGGTTTGATTGATTGCCAGTTATGGAGTGGCAGATGTACTTTGTTACATAAATATTTCTAGTTTGATAAAATTAACTTTCAGTCGGTGCTAATTAGTAGTTGCAGATTCCCATTCCTGCTTTACATCTTTAGTTAATATTAAAGCTATTTTTATTCCTAGCTCAACTTCCATAGGAACTAGAAATGGTAATCCAGGAACGGATGGTCTCAGTTGGAAATGTGAAAAGAAGGAATGTGTGTATGGGTAGCGCATATTTCTGTTCTACTAAGAAAACAATCTATTTATAAACAGCTATCTTAAAAGAAATGCTAAGGATTTCTTTTTCATTTAGTTTGGTCTCTTTAGTGTTTTTAGTTTGTGAGTTGTTTTCTAGGTCTGTACAGACAGTAGCAATAATTACTTTGCATAATCCTGTGAATCTGTGTGGTTGCTGGAGCCCAGAGGTTTCTCACTTTCTTGCAAATTAGTTGTGGATGCTGTTGCATAGCTCTTGAACTCTCAGCAGCTGTGATTAAATGAGTGCTTAATAAGTGTATTTGTTAAATAGATTAATGAACGAAAGAAAAGGTTTGGGAAACTTGCTAGTAACATGTGTGCAGTGCCTGTGGAGGCCAGAAGATGTCACATCCCCTGAAGGGGAGTTGCAAGCGGTTATGAGCCACCACATGGGTACTGGGAGTTGAACCCGGTTCTCTGTAATAGCATCCAGTGCTCTTAAGCACTGAGCCGTCTCTCAAGCCCCTGGACTCTTTGTTAGTACAGTGATTCTACAGAGTTATGAACATACTGAAGTACTGTCCTTTGCATAACCACAGCCCCTTTCCTGTCAGTGTCATACACCATGGCATGAGATATGGATGTAGGTGTTTTCCTGCCTTGACACCTGTAACTTTTAGGGTATTTTAAAAGTTGCTTTTAACAGAGGTTGGTAATTATTCAGAGGTATTTTCAAATTCCTGTAAAAAGAAAAAAAGCCATCACACTGAGAATTAGTTTTATTTTTCAGGCTGAAAATGTCATCATCCTTGACTTATTTTAGATGTGAATATATATGTAATTTAAATTTTGTACTTCCATTTATTTTCATACCAGTTTGGATTCAGGTGGCGAATAGAAAAAGAAGTAATTTCAGGAAAAGGTAACTTTCATTTTTTATTTTTTAATTACTTTTTAATAGAACACAGCTTATTTTGTCATATAGAATTGAAATAATTGGGTGAGATTTTTCCTGTCATAGACAAAAAATTATTACCTATAAAGATAAAATTAGAGAAATGTATTTCTGATAAATACATTATTAGCAAAGATCAGAATTTAATACTTTCATGACTTTTCCTTTAGAATTTGATATTTAGAATATTTGAGGATATGTAGAAAATGTTATGAGAATTCAAGATTTAATAACAGGGAACAAGTGAGTGCTTGATTACCAATTATTATGATAAAATATTGGTAGTACTCTACTCAAAAAAATCAACATTTTGAAAGTAGAAATTAAATATCACATGTGAGCCCAATAGAAGTTTTGTACAGACTAGTTTTAGGTTGAGCCCAAATATTAAGTCTAATATCAAACAATCAAACATTCAGGGCAGTCAAGAGCACTATTGTCCCAGGGGATCCGAAACCCTCTTCTGACCTCTTCAGGCACCGGGCATGTCTGGGGTGCACGTATATAAATGACAGGGATGTTTTCTCTAGAAGAAGGAGAAACAATGAATTGAGAGCAGCTCAGTTAGTGGGCAGTGGGTAAAGACACTTGCCACTCCAGACTAGTCAGTTCAGTTCAGGCCCTGAAACCTAGGGTGGAAGGCGAGAATGGACTCAACCGAGTTGTCCTCTGACCTCCACATGCACACCATGCGCACACACACACACACACACACACACACACACACACACACACACACTCACATGCTGTGGATATCGCTCTGTATAAATAAAACACTGATTGGCCAGTAGCCAGGCAGGAAGTATAGGCGGGACAAGGAGAGAGGAAAATTCTGGGAAGTGGAAGGCTGAGGAGAGAGACCTGCCAGCCACCTCCATGACAAGCAGCATGTAAAGATGCTGGTAAGCCACAAGCCATGTGCCAACTTATAGATGAATAGAAATGGTTTAATTTAAGATATAAGAACAGTTAGCAAGAAGCCTGCCATGGCCATACAGTTTGTAAATAATATAAGCGTCTGTGTGTTTATTTTATAAGTGGGCTGTCGGACTGCTGGGGCTTGGCGGGACCTGGAGAGAAAACTCCAGCTATAAATGGCCCCCAGAGAAAAAACTCTCTAGCTACACACACACACACACACACACACACACACACACACACACACACACACACACGCGCGCGCTACTAAATAAACGTTTAAAAATAAGGCAGTGTAAGTTTTCTTAAGGTCACATTTTATTTTGTATTTTTACCTAAAATAATGAGAGATCTGAAATGTCTTTCACTAATAAAAATGTTAATTTTGTCAAGTAGAATTTTTAGGAGAGCATATAAAACTGCCTTTGCTGGGCAGTTGACGGCCTTCTCTAAGTTCCTGAGTGAATGTAGGACTAGTTGGGATGGATAGCCAGCTGTCGCTGTTAAGATAGAATGTTGCGGTTGCTGTTTAACAGTCATTACTAAACATACTAAACGTGCGTGTTTAATTAGCTCTTCATTTGGAACAAATTTTAAAGTCATCCTGTGACTTCCTTCCATATGCCATTGCATGGCATGTATACACACGCGCGCGCACACACACTAAATAAATAAATAAATGCAAAAATGTGTTTTAAGTTCGTCATCCTCTGCCACATAGTAAGTCTGAGGTTAGTCTGGGCTATATGCAATGGATCCTGTTTCAGAAGACGGAGTTTTGAATTAGCCTTTTGGATGCTAATGTTATAGATTCATTTTGGCAGTCTTCTACATTTTATGAAAAGGATTTTGTGGTTTCTATTTGATACTCTTAGTGTAAATTATTGTGGTGGAAATTGTTCTTTGTGTAAATCTGCCAAAATAGATCATTTTAAGTTGTCCCTTCAGCTCTAAATCATCAGTTTTTGTCCTGGTTTAGAAGTTTTTAATGTATATAGAGCAGTGAGATGGTAAAATTTAGAATATCAGGTTTAAGTTTTTAAAATGCTTTTTATTAACATTTTTGCTGGAACTTTAAGTAAATGATATAACAATACTTGAAAACATTAATTTTAATATTTCAATTAAAGACTGTCAGGACTCACATCTAAGAACATATGTTTTGAGGAGATGATTTCTCCTTTCAAGGTTTTAGTGAGTACACTTAATGTTTTCACTTTCTACAGTGTAAGATTCTCTAATATGGACTCACTAAAATTCTACTTAAATAAACAGTTTATCATCAGGAATTCTGTGACTGTTATTTTTTAAGAGTCCAGCTCTTTAGCCAGGACTGGTGGCACAGTCTGGTGGTCCCAGTTACCATTGGGGGTTGAGAGAGGATATCTTTAAGTTCAGTTTTGACATATAGAACAAGTTCTAGGCCAGCCTAGGCAATGTAGCAAGCACGCAAGCAAGTAAAAAAAAAAAAAAGAGCTGGGTTGTGGCTTCGTGGTAAAGCACATGCTTACATGCAGAAGACCCTGGATCCGGCTCCCATTGCCAAAGGAAAAAACAATCATCTTTCTGATTTCATACTTAGATATATGATGCTATAGTTATTATGGTCAATTATTTTTAATAATGAGCTTGTGTTACAACTTATATATTTTTTAAATATTTATTTTGCATTCTACTATTATATGTACTATTATTTATTGTACAATTTTTAAAAGAAAGTTTTAGAGGTAATAGGTTTATAGGCAAATCATGTCATGTGTCATGGCTGATAATTCTTTCCCTCTTGCAGGTCAGTTTTGTTGTGGGAATAAATGTTGTGATGAAAAAGAAGGCTTGAAGAGCTGGGAAGTGAACTTCGGTTATGTTGAGCATGGTGAAAAGAGAAACGCACTTGTTAAATTAAGTAAGTGGAGCTTTGTGGAGAGATGGTTGATTCCTCCAAGTTCTTCTTTAATTTAGAATTGAAAAATGTGCCGGGTGGTGGTGGCGCATGCCTGTAATCCCAGCACTCGGGAGGCAGAGGCAGGTGGATCTCTGTGAGTTCGAGGCCAGCCTGGTCTACAGAGCTAGTCCAGGACAGGCTCCAAAGCTACAGAGAAACCCTATCTCGAACCCCCCCACACACACACAAAAAAAAAAGTATATAGACTGTTTACAGGTCAGTTTTACAAGATTCAGTGCATTTTCCTGAAAGTATTCTTTTTCTCTGTAGTTTCGCCAAACCTCAAAGAAATTTTGAGCCTAAAATTTTTAGCATTACGGTAGCACTTTGATAAAACAATTCCAATGTCAGATTTCCAGCTGATAACCTGTAGAGTGAAGATCTCACAGACTTGAGATGTCACTAGATGACGTGTCTGACAGTGTCGGAAAAGGCAATGTGAACCTTATGGATGAATGTGTAGCTGTAATGTGGCATTAACAGTAAATAAATTTGCTCTTTGACAGTGAGTGAAAATTTTAGGAAAGAATCCTTTTAAAGGGGGTTTATTTAACATATATTGATTTTACTTAATAATGGGTTTCACTATGACATTTTCATGCCTGTATATAATAATACATTTTATCATACTCAAACCATTCACTCTCCTATCCCCTCACATACCAGCTGACCCCCTTTCTTCTTCATGAGTCCTCCTATTTCATGGGTTTGTTTGGTTTGGTTTGGTTTGGTTTTTTGTTGACCCAATGAGTGTAATTAGGGTTACTTCCAGAGTAGGGTGGGGATTATTGACAGGAGTGTGGGCCACACTTAGCAGTGGCTGTACCACTGAAGAAATCTTCAAGAAGGTACAGGGCCTCATGAGTCTCTCCTACCCCACAATGATGGAGTGTTCATTTATCTAATCCTGTGCAAGTTTTATTCAAGTAATCACAGCTGCTTGGAGCTCAAGAGTGTAGTAGCCCCGTCATGCTCAGAGGACAGCGTGACAACATACCATGGAACCTCTGGCTCTCACATTTTTTTTCTGCTTTCTTGTTGGAGATGTTCCCTGAGTCTTGGGGTGGGGGGTGATATAGGTGTCCTATTCAGAGCTGAGCATCAGTAGCCAGTTATTCTGAGTACTTTGGCCAGTTGTGAGTGTCTGCAGTCATTGTCTCCCGCGGCAAAAAGTTGACCCCAGCACCATTCTATTATTGTTATTGTATGCATATTATCACATCATGTCATTATATTAGGAGGTGTCTTTGATGTTAGATACTGCTTCTGCCTGTGAGACACAATGGATGACACTTTTCCTAAAGTCCTCTAAACCGTGTCCTCCAGACACAACAGGGCTGATACACGTGTGAGCTCACAGAGACTGTGACAGCGATCACAAGATCCGCACAGTTAACACCAGACAGAATCCCAGCAGCAGTAAGGGAAAGTGGGTACGAGGTGCTGACCCTAACCAAGAAGCTGTTTGTACTTGAGAGCCGAATCTAGGGAGGGGGCAGTTCACCTATCTAGGAGCTGGCAGGTGGTCCCTCACTGTTCTGCTGACTGGTGTGGCCTATACCTGAGCAGTGGCAGTCTGCTAGAGTTTGGGGCAGGGGCCCGGCATGGGCCAGAAGGGGAGGTGGGTGCTAATTGTAATTGATAGCTGCTGGGAAAGGGGAAAATCCGTTTTCTTCAATGAGTCATACTTTTTTTCTGAAGAGAGAAAGAATATGAAGTGGGGTGGCTGGGGAGGGGTATCTTGGAGGAATTGAGGGAGGGAAAGAATAGGACCAAAATACATTGTATGAAAAAATTTAAAAACAAAGTATTGTTAAAATATTTTCAATCCTCAAACATTTTAATATAATTTTGATGTGTAATGTTAGATTATTTTCTTCATATTATTTCCTGTATATAGTAAGGGGTATACAGATCATGATAAATTATAACTAAAATTGAGTAACAATATAGTTACACAGATTCAGAAGCTCAGTGATATTTTTTTTTCTTTTTTAGGATTATGCCAAGAATGTTCCTTTAAATTAAATTTTCATCACAGGTAATTTTTGGTTTTAAAATACTATGTTTAATGTTTAGTAACTTATTTTATTGTACTGTCTAAATCTCAGTTTGGAAAGTGGATTTCATTTATTATTTAGAAGATAGAACATTATTGTGTGATCCATGGAACTGGACATTCACTCTGCCCTGATCTAAGCAATTTTATGTGTGAATGTCTATGTGGGGCAATAGATGCCCTTTAGGAGAGTTGTTAGTTTGGAGCCAATGGCCAGACACTGTGCTATTCTTAGAAATGAAGTTATAAAGCCGACTCTATAGAATGGTTCTTAGGACTTTCAAAGTGCATGCATGCGTGCATGTGTGCATGCGTGCATGCGTGCATGCGTGCATGCGTGCATGCGTGCATGTGTGCATGTGTGTATTCTGAAGCCAGAGGAGGGTGTTGAGTGTTGTACTCTCTGACTTCCTCAGCATTACTCATTGAAGACAAGGCCTCTCACTGAACCTGGAGATTGCCATTTTTGACTAGTCTGTCTGGCAAGTGGCAATCCTCCTGTCTCTGGTCTCAACCTTCCTACCCCTAAGCACCAAGATTATGGATAAGCATGGCCACACTTGATGTTTACATGGATTCTTGGGATTCAAATTCAAATCCTCAGGTTTGCACTGCAGACTCTCTTACTCACTGAACTCTCTCTCCAGTCCCTCTTGTTACTTTTAAACAGACTTTTAAATGGAGTCTCTCAAGGATACAAATGACATTGGTAAAATCAGGCTCCTATTTAGTCACCTGGAATATGTCTGCAGTGTTGAGTGAGTTAGGAGTAGCACTGGCCTGTACCGTGTAGTACATAGGAGATCATTGGCCTTGGTTTTATTGGTTTCATATTGTTGTTATTTCTTTATTGTTGTTTTGTTGGTTTTTTTGTTTTGTTTTTGAGGCAGGCTGGCCTTCAATTCATAATGTATCTGAGGCTACCCTCAAATTTGTGACTCTCCTGTCTCAGACTCTTGTGTGCTGGGGCTATAGGTATATGCCACCACACCTGGCTTAAAATCAGTCTTATTATAAGCATGTCTACATAGTGTTTTAGCTGCTACACATAAGTCATACATTCTTAAAGTCAACAGGACTTTCTATGTTACTTGAATAGCCAGCCCCAACCTTAATTTCCTCTTCCGGTCAGCGATGATGAGACTGAAGGTATTTTGTGATTTTCCCTTTGATTACCTGCTGTGACAGCATGATAGCATCAGCATGGATGTCTTAATCAGAAGTCTGTTGAGCAAATACTTGAGAGCTGTTTTCTCGTGTTTCTCTTCTTAAGCAGTTAAGATTAATTGTTTTTCACCTATTGTACTGACCAAATTATAAATCTGGCCTAGAAGAAGTAAAGCCAGAGCAATAAGAAAATAACTTATAAGTTGTCTAATGTCGAGATAGGAATTAAAAATAAGCACTTTCTATTTCCATCACAAGATACTTTTACTGTAGTCTTGATTCTGAGAGGAGAGTGTCCTCTCACTGTGGCTCAGAAGCATCCCAGCACTTGCTTCTTGCTTTCTCAGTGCTCGGTGGATATGTGCTGGGAAAGGACTGAGTAAAACTCTATCTTACTCGTTTGTGTAGAGAACTTACAGAATAGTTCTTTGTCTCTGTTTAGGCTTCATTATCTTATAGAATTATCTTAATTTGTATATTGGCCTAAAATATTGCATACTCATTCAAGGTTCTTTATTATATAAGTTATATGTACTTTAACTTTTTTAATCATTGGATTTTATTTTTTATAAAATCAGTTGAAAAAATTAACTTCAATATTACATTGTTTAACATAAAGGAGAAAAGAAATCAAATCAAAAAAAAGAAAGGCTAAAACCAAGATTGAATGTGACGATTCACCGCCTAAGAAATCCAGATCATCTTCAGAGGCTTCCAAGGGGAAGGATGAAGGTAAAAGAGGTCTAAGAGCTCCTCCTTCCGAGTATGAAATACGATCTGCCTCAGTGCGAATCAGAATCTCGCTGGTGGATGCATTTAGAACTTGGTTTTATAACAAGTGAAAGGAAAGTGATTGAGAATTCATATGTGAATATATAGTCACTTACAGGAGTTTTAAGAACAGTTGGGTTTGATTCCTTTTGGACAGGTACAGTAATATCATAACATATTGCAAGTAGTGTCAGTTCCTGCTGTATGCAAGCCTTGTTACGTGGGTAAGACACTGACTCTCTAGAGCTCACTTTCTCCACGTATGTTGGGGTGACGTGAACACCCACCTCCACATTTGTCAGGCCTGAGAAGAGTCAGATGAGAATGTGAGGGCACTCAGAACCATAAAGCAGCTTTACAGTCTGTCATCCAGTCTAAAATCACGGTTGTGGTGCCTGTCGTTCAGGACTATGAGAAATACTGAGGTAATTTAGTAAGCAGTTTGACTAATGCCTGCCATGTAATTAGCTATTATGAAGGTTACTTCTGGTTACTTTTTCAGCACCAATAGTTAATTGGCTTTAACGTCTACTGAATCAAACTTAAAACTTGGTGGGTAGTGCAAGATTCAGTGAAATTTAAGCTAGTGTTAATATAAGATTTGGACAGGAGAGGGCTCCCTTGCTCTAGACAGGAAGATAGTTGGCTAAGGTGCGTTCTTAAATGCATTTGTTCCTTCTTGTGTGGGTAGTACATAGTGTTGCCGAGTGAGTGGATGGTTAGTAGAAGAGCTGTTATTCTGTTGTTTATTGAGAGTTGGCATTTGAAGCTGAAAGCCTTTCTATGTCTATCTTAATTATTTCCTAACTCCAAAGTAAATCTCAATTAATAAATGTGAAAAGCTCATTTGAGCTTAAAATTTTTTACTTATGCTAATATGCTAATATAGCAATATACCATTTGAAAATATGATTATATTCATTATTGTATTAATAACATTGTTACCTTCTTACTATAATCATATCGTGTAATCATGGCTTATTCTAAACTAAGGAAGAGCTCATCTCTGCCTAGACCTCCTTGATTTGGCATAAACTTTAATAATAATTAAACAACACAGTTGCATACAGACTGTTGGCACTCCTGGTTTTATCCAAACCTGCCATCCTTTCCCCACTTAGGTGAGACCGTATACTTTATCGCTTCATGTTACCATCATAGAGAGTGTTAAGGAAGTGAATGGCTGGGTGGACACTGAATGCCACACGGCCGAATGAATGTGTAGAGAGGAAACTAAGACAAACCAACAACTTGTGTGTAAAGAACAGTTACTTTTGCAAATCAGGAAGAACAAAATCCTTAGATATAGATTCACTCTCTCCGCCAAAGATTCAAGATCGTCTCTCCCCATTTCCCTTCTCTCAGCTACCTCACCCTTCACGTTTCAGTTCAGCTAGCTCAGTCGGAAAGGCCCTTCTTAACACTGTCTATCCCACTTCCTCGGACTAGATTAGATCCCTGTTATACGTTCTCAGAGCACCCTGTACTTGTTAAGAAATGCACAGGACCCTTGGAATAATCCATTTTCTGTGAGAGAAGGGATTGTGTGGCTGTTTAACTCATCTCCGGTTCCTAACACCATAGGCACTTAGTAGATGTTAGGTGAGTGAGTGGATCAGTGAATTCATAGTTGAAGAGACTCCAGAAAACAGTCCTAGAGTCATAAACAGAATGGTGTTCTGGAGGTTTTGCTTTTCAAACTCCAGTGCTCTGGCCAGCAGTGTTGTGGTCAGCTGTCCATTGGTCTGAAGTCACTGAGACCCCTGTGAGAAGTGTACAAGAGGCTGTGCCCTATGGCACGTGGTTGTTCTGACTTGGCCTCAGCATCTCAGGGAAGAGGAGCCCACCCCACCTACAGCAGCTCTCCACATTTCAGATGGTGTGATTGCTAGCAGCTTTCTCTTGACATGTGGCCCCGACCTGCACTTCCTGTTGGTTCTACGCATGTCAGCAGGCCTGCAGAGAAAGCCTCACTTTTCCACTTACTTTTTTTTTTTTTTTTTTGGTTTTTCGAGACAGGGTTTCTCTGTGTAGCTTTGTGCCTTTCCTGGAACTCGCTTTGGAGACCAGGCTGGCCTCGAACTCACAGAGATCCGCCTGGCTCTGCCTCCCGAGTGCTGGGATTAAAGGCGTGCGCCACCACCGCCCGGCTTCCACTTACTTTTTAAAACCAATTGAACACACTTCCATGTCTTCACCCTGCACTTCCTCTGAAAGACTAACTCCTGAGTTTCTTAGCCCCTCCAGTTTTGTTGGGGTGCCCCTCTGTCACCTGTGCTTTCATTTCATCACCCTCCAGAAATGTCTCCCAGAGGGCTCTGTAGAATGAGAATTTAAAATATATACAACCGGGTGGTAGTGGCACACGCCCTTAATCCCAGCGCTCAGGAGGCAGAGGCGGGTGGATCTCTGTAAGTTTGAGGCCAGCCTGGTCTACAGAGCGAGTTCTAGACCAGCCAGGGTTACACAGAGAAACCCTGTCTCAAAAAAACAAAAAATAAACACACACACACACACACACACACACACACAATAGATCTTGTGTACTTTTCACTTCTTGTCTTCCTCAATAACTGCTGCTGAAAAGTTATCTTAATAGCCACTGTGGACAAGACTGGCTGGGGATGTGGTTCAGTGGTAGAGCACTTGCTTAGCATGCTGAACAGAGGAAGTTCTAGCCCCTTACCACCTCCCCTTTCTACTTGTCTGTGACCCTGGAAAAAATTCTGTGGAAATGAATATTTGTACACTGTTCAGTGGAAGGACTGAACATCTCCACAAAGAAAAAATTATCATCATCATCATCACCATCATCATTGTTATTACTTTGCAACCTGTGAAGTGTTTTTAAGCCCTGTGAGACTTTTCCTAGGCTATCGGTTTTCAAGTTTTATGTTAGCTATCCCATGCTCTATGAACACATAAGAGGATCTCGATCTAAAAGGACCTAACATTTTAATTGAGGAGATAAGACCAAAGGACCTGAAAAATTAGAAAGTAGTAAAGGGCTTTTTATTTTTATTATTATTTATTGTTGTTATTATTTTTTTGCACGTAAGAAAAACAAATTTGGGAAGAATTTATGGTTTTAGCTACAACTGTCAACACCACCCAAAGATGATGCTTGATGAAATAATGCTGTTTTCCTTTCAGGACATTCATCCTCAAAAGAGTCAGAAGATTCTAGAAACAGTAAGTATCAAGCATTTCTTTCTTAAATGGAAATATGTAGATTCAAAGCATTTGTAATTTGGATTTTTTTTTCTTTTTTTTTTTTTTGGTTTTTTTTTTTGAGACAGGGTTTCTCTGTGTAGCTTTGTGCCTTTTCCTGGAACTCACTTGGTAGCCCAGGCTGGCCTCGAACTCACAGAGATCCGCCTGGCTCTGCCTCCCGAGTGCTGGGATTAAAGGCGTGCGCCACCACCGCCCGGCCCGTAATTTGGATTTTTTATTTATTTGTATCCTGCTTTGATGTGAATTATATTTGTTTTTATATAACATGAGAAGAATCATAAAGGACAAAGAGTGAATATTTACTTTTCAGTTAAAATAATTAAAAGTTTTTTATTTTAATTATGGAAAGCATCAAAATCTTTTTTCAGTAAATATCATGCATAAACATTTCGATTTCACACTGTACAGTGCGTAGGAAGAGATAGGGATAAGGTTGGAACGGGAAAGGAAAGGCAGTTAAGATTTAAAGAAAATTGGTCGTTTACATGAGTCTGAGTGGCCCTGTGGTGGTCTGGATTGGGAGAAGCCATTGCTGTGAATGGTGCTTTAAGCCTGTTTTCTCCAGTATTAAAGCAGTGATTTTACCCGATGATTGCTACAAATCCTATATTTCCCATGAAACACTCCCCAAAGTGTTCACAGTGACTTACAAAAGATGTAAAAGGATGTTTTAAAATTAGTGATGTAGGAATAGTGGGGAACAAGGTAGAATAGCAGTGTAGAGATGGAAGCAAATTTGTATACTTCCACCAAAGCATGTCACATGACTGCAGAGGTAGACCACAGTTCTGTCACTGTCCTCCCCATAACCAAAACAAAGAATGAAGCTGCCAGCAGAATGACAGATGCCTTGTGAAATAGTAAAGAGACCTCGGTGCTTATTTAGCTTTTGTCTGGCGGCTTGGAGAGAAGACTCTCCTGTAGGATTATAGAAAGGGGCATACATTTGTAGTGTTGTTTTCTTTCAACCTCTGTCTGTGATAGAGAAAACTACTTTTATTTTTTAAATTGTAAAGGTTTATCTTTATAATTTTTTAAATTATGTGTGTGAGTATGTCCCTCTGAGTGCAGGTGCCATTGAAGTGCAGAGGAGGGCGTTGGCTCCCTTGGGGCTGGAGTTCTCGATGGTTGTGAGCTGCTCAGTGTGGGTGCTAGGAACCAAACTTAGGTCCTCTGAAAGAGCAGCACCCACTCTTTACCACTGAGCCGTCTCTCCAGTGTGGCCCCTTCCCCGCCATTTTTAAAATGTTTTTTTAATTGCTTAAAATTTTTAATGTATGTATTTATTTTGAGAAAAGTCAAGTTATTCTTGAATTCATAATCCTTCTGTCTCAGTCTCCCAAATTTCTAGAATTATAGGCACATGCCACTATGCCCAGTTAGAGGACATCCATTTGTGGTGAGTTAAGCTCTAGGCTATTTATTCAATTGATCTCCAGAGAACAGAGAACTCCAGGAAATTATTCAAGGCCAAGTAGTTAATGTCAGAGATAGGGTTAGATGCAAGTTTATCGTCCCCAACACAGTGCCTTTTTGTTCTTACTATCAATAACTTCGTTATTAGTGAGTCAAATGTAGGCCTATTATTTATATTGTAATTTTGACAGATTAGATAGATAGATAGACAGACAGATAGATCCATCTTAAATGATTGGTCTAAGTCTTGCTTCTTTTGTAGAATGGGTGTGTAAACAGGCCAGCTTCATTGAATTACTGCCAAAAGAGAAGACACCCACATAAGGCCTGTGCCGCACACAAAGGAAGTCCTTGATAACCTGTAGTTCTGTTGCAATGCCAGCGAAAAGAAAAATGCCAGACATTAAACAGAGTCTGTATTTGCTCTCTAGAATTGATCAGACCAAAAGTTAAAACCTGTTCGTTTATTATAGTTATTGCAGACATTCACTATTTCTTCAGTGGAGTGAGTTTTTAGTTATTATATAATATCCACAAAATGCAAGCCTTCGGGAAAACCCAAAGCATTTAAACACCATACACTAAGGAGAACCTCAAAGGCTTGAGCAGATCAGACACAGAGCAGCCGTGCTGTGGGAAGGATGTGGGCACAACTACAGATATTTAGTTTGGAGAAAGGTGAAGGAGCGATAGGAGGCGGGGCAAGATGAGGACCCAGAAATTGGAGGTGTTTAGGGTTGTTACTATATGGGAGATTGATTTGTGGTGACTGGCTCACAGAACTAGAGTCTATGGATAAAAATGGTCTGAAAACATATTTTTGCCTTAGTTTAAGGAAAATTTTCACTTGGAACTGTCTGACGAAAAGAATAGAGGAAGTGAGCTGTCTGGGAAGACAGATTGCACACTGCCTGTTATCAGAAGTGTTACAGTGAACGGGTTCATTTTGTAGGTAGAGTTGGAGGAAAATCCCACAGAGACCAACAGAGCAGTAGGTTGTGGCTCAGCAAATAAAGACTTGCTGCCAAGCCTGATGACCTGGGTTCGATCCTTGGAACTCACGTGTCGTCTGACCTGCACACATGCAACTGTGGCATTTTCACACCACACACACATACACACACACACACACACACACACACACACACACACACACACAATGTGAAGAAAAAAAGAACTATAGGTTATTCCAGCTCTTGCCCATAATCACTGCAGAGACTCAACGGTAGTGCAGCAAGGACGTTGTCGTGTATTAACCATTCTGCTTGTCATTCCTCAGCAGTACTCTTTGTCACCCGTGGTTGGTTGTAGTTGTATCAGTGTCCGTAGTGACTATCACCCTCAGCGAAGCAGGAAGTTTTAGATTCATAGGGTGGAAGGGACTTTAAAGATCATTTGGTCTAGTCCTATAGATTTGAGGCAATTTGGGCACTTTTTCTTTTTTGAGACAGTGTTTCTCTGTGTAGCTTTTGAAGCTTGTCCTGGAACTCACTTTGTAGACCAGGCTGGTCTCGAACTCACAGAAATTCGCCTGCCTCTGCCTCCCAAGTGCTGGGATTAAAGGTGTGTACCCCCACTGCCTGACTTTGGGCACTTTTTCAATGGCTACTCTCTTAATGGGATTTATTTTATTTTAACTTTTTAAAAGTAAAATTGCATTATCTGGTATCAGAAAACTGATGTATAGGACTGGGTCAGTAGTCCAGTTGGTACAGGGCTTCCATGAAACAAGAGAAACTACATTCAGTCCTCAGAACCCACTTTCAAAACCGGACTAAGATCTACTCAATGGGTAAAGGCACTTGCCGCCAAACTTGATAGGTTTAATCCCTGGAACCCACGTGGCAGTGGGAGAGAGCAGCTTGTTGTCTGGTCTCCATACTGTGTCCTGCATGTGCACACCTGCACGTGTGTATACATAAATAAGTGTAAAAAGAAATGGTCCAGGTGTGGTACCACACACTTTCAACCCTAGTGCTCGGGAGGTAGAGACAGGCAGATCTCTGGGTCCTTATCAGCCAGCCTTACCTGTTTAGTGAGTTCAAGGCCAGTGAAAGGCCCTTTCTTAAAAACAAGGTGGATAACACCTAAGGAACAGCACCAGAAGCTGACCTCTGGCCTCCATGTATGAACACACACAGAGACCTATACACACCACACACACAGACCTATACACACCACACATAGGCAAAGACACTCCATACAAAGGAAATTGTTGTGGGAAAGCTGACTTGTGGAAAGTATTCCTGGAAGGGAACACGAGTGACCAACGGAGCAGTTTATAGTGTAAGACTTGAAAATGGGCTGCTAGGTTCTGAAGGCCATGTAGGTTCTGTCCTCTGACATCTTAACAGTAATGCCAGAAAGATGCCTTTATTAGGCACAGTCAGATTTTCTATCCTTTCTTAGCTCAATGAGTGGAAGATTCTATTCTTTCTTCTTGTGTTACCAATTGAGGACACTGGGAACTGCAGTGATGGCTGTCACAGAACAGGAATCTTCCTCCAAGACTTCATAGTTTCATCGTCATGTGTGCATGGCTTGTGAGACAGCACCCTCCCCCTGCTGTTCGTTACAATTGGTGCCGCAACAGATTCAGTTAGGATCAAAGTTCAGGCATCCACATGGATTCAGGGATCAGAGTCCAGCAGGTAAAAGGCTAGAACCACCGTGGCAAATCAATGCTGCTTTATTTTTGTGCTGTGCTGTACTGAGGGACATTCTGTACTGGCAGCCAAATGTGAGTTAGGTTGGAACTCCAGTGTTCGCTCCTACAAGGGGATTGATTATCCCTTACAATGTCGTTCTTGACTTAGTGTCTCTTAATCATCGCAGTCATGTAAGTTAAGGTTTGTAAAGAGCACATTGTGTTAGGTTGAGCACATGAACAACTAAACCTCTGTGTGAGATTGCAGTTCTGTTACAAAAAAAAAAATTGTCAGACATTTTGTAAAAATCATGCTTATTGTTTGAGAAAAGAGGCTTTCCCAGACATTATTCAGAAGAATGCAAGCTTCTGGAGGAAACCTAGCCCTGTAACTGCTTTAGAACGCATGTCTGGTGGCCAGGGATGCTGCTTTTGGAACTGATATTTTATTTGGAATAGATAAGCACCTCAGATAAATTCAGACAGAAATATACACAGTGCAACAAGAGCCACAGTTTGGCTGGGCTGTGGGCCCACTGTGGAGCCCTTGCCAGCATTTTTAAGACCCTGGGTGGAATCACTAGCACCGCCCCTCACCAATAAAAGTAAAAAGGAAAACAGCCTAACTCCCCACCAATCAGGAATTGAGGATTGGTTAATCAAATTCAACATAGCTGTTTTTGTTTTGTTTTGTTTTCTGTTTGTTTAAAGCTTTCATGGGGCTAGAGAGATAGATGGCTGTGTGGTTAGAGCATAGATTGGTCTACAGAGGCCCAAGTTCAGTTGCAAGGACCTTGGAGATCTGACACCTCAGGCTTCTGCAGGCCCCTGTACACACATGCATCATTAAAAATAAAAATAAATTCTAAAAAAATTGACATTTATTTATATTGTCAAGGAAAACTGTGCTATCTCAAATCTTTTATAGTTACAGAAAATATGCACAGTACAATCCAATTTATTTAAAAACTTGTATGTTATATACATACATGTAAACTTTTTTTTTTTTTTTTTTTGGTTTTTCGAGACAGGGTTTCTCTGTGTAGCTTTGCGCCTCTCCTGGAACTCACTTGGTAGCCCAGGCTGGCCTCGAACTCACAGAGATCCGCCTGGCTCTGCCTCCCGAGTGCTGGGATTAAAGGCGTGCGCCACCACCGCCCGGCTCATACATGTAAACTTATGTATCATGATTTTGTAAGGGCCAACCAGACTTAAATATTGTATTACCTGTAAGTTCCGGATAACTTTTCCTCTATACTTTAAACATTTCCAAATGGCTTTTATTTTAGACAGTAAGTACATATTACCTCTAAAATCAGTAAAAATAATATATTCCTATTTTAAAAATATAGACCTCAACTGGATCACCTAATACTCAGCTAAAATTTACTCAGTATTGGATAATGTATTAGCAGGCAGACGAACTGTTCATGATGTAATTACATCGGTAAGTGACTCCTCTGTGATGACTACCACAGTCTAAAGGAGCTGTTCTTGAGTGCTGGTCCTAATATAGACATGTTCTCTGTGTAAATCTTCATTTCATTTCAGTTGTAAATCAGCTGCTCCTGTTTTTCAGTGTAACATGAGGAAGTTGTTCATAAGACAGTAGTTCCATGCCCTCTTTGCTGAGACTCTGGTATTTCTCATATTGTTTAATTTTAAATTTTATTGTATCTGGAGGAATAACTTAAATTTCCAGGGAATTGTGGAAGTTGAAGCTAAATTGCTGTTAAATTCATAGTTAATTTAATTGCACTGGTAAATGATTTACAACATTTCAAAACCAAGCAAAAACCTTTTCTTCTGTATGAGCAGGAGACACTGATGAGGAAGATGGTGCTTCCGAATCCGAGCTCTGGAAGGGTCCCCTGCCAGAGACCGATGAAAAGTCACAGTGAGTGCTGAGATTCATAGATGCTCCCTTCTGTCTTCAGCTTAGGAGGCTGAGGAGACAGCTGTTCTTGATATCAGTTCATGACAATCTTTAATAGTGCCAAAGGCGCCCTACCCTGGTAAGGTGAAAGTGTATTACCAGCCATTGTTCTTGGCTATAAAGAGCTGGCGGCCCAGCATCAGTTCATTTCAACAGACTACCCTCTGTTCTGTTCTGGCTCGCATTCCTTCTGAGAGGAATGCATCTAGGACAGCCTGTCCCATGATGTTCTGATTCTCAGGCCCCACGCTGAGGAGCCCCTTGAAGGTTTACACAGGTGTGGGAGGACCCCGCCGACACTCATCTCTGCCTCCCAACAACAGATAACTTGGAGCTCTTGCTCTCTGCTGAGGCTGACTTCAAAGCCTGAGTTGCTTGGCTACCTGAGGCTGGCTGCAGACACTACACTTATTGAGCACTGGATGCTTGTCCCTGTATTTGACAGGTTATACCGAAAGGAATGTCCCTCCAAGTTCTGTTCTTTCTTTTAGACAGAACCTTTACTAGTACAAATATTTACTTACTGGTCTCAGACTGTGGCCTGAGCAAATGTCCTCACATTCCTGGGATTAAGACTTGTAACTTTTTTTAAACACAGTTTCTGTTCCATACATTTCTTAAGCAGATTATAATTTGAAATAGTGAACAGGGAAGGTATAGAATCAACCAAAAAAGCAAACAGAAGTAATGGTGTTTCACAAAGTATTTCAAAGAAAACTCTGAGGGTTTTTGAGAGAGGTACCAGCATGTGAGCTATTCCAATTTTAACAATTTTGAGAATAGGTAATTGTTTAGAAACTCAGAGTTATTTGAATTATGAAAACATGTTGTTATGTAGAATGATCAGCTAATGTACTGAAAGTATTTTATTTTTATTAGTCTCATATAATGTATCTCTTAATTTTTTACTCTATTGATTTATTTAATTTTTATTATTTTGAGTGCTCTCGATTATAATTGATGTTTGTACTTTTTTAATAGGGAAGAAGAATTTGATGATTATTTTCAGGACTTGTTTCTGTGATGAACTGGGAGAGAGTGAGGTAGTGCCCTGTGAAACTCCGTGAACGTGTCCATGCCACTGCGTGGACAGCCACCAGGCCATGTTTCGGAGGCTCGGGCGGGGACTGCCTCAGACACTTCCTCCTCCACTTGGCTGGTGGGTGGCGTCTCAGTTGCTTATCCACAGATCTGTCTTGGCCATAGCTCTCCAGTGTATGATACACCATTTTAAGTGACATTTGAACAGGGAGTAATTGGCATTAAACTGTAAATAAATTATGTAGTGTCTGCTTTTAAAATGGCCAGTGTTCCGAGTTTTTCCTTTGACTGGATAATTGTTACTCACTCACTCGACAACTGCTTCCCAGGCTTCTCTCAGGCGTGAGACACTGTGCTCAGATCTTTCGGAAGTCATTTTGCAATCCTTTCTGAATTATCAGAAAATAGTAAATTAGTGTCATGTGTACTGATGTTAAATATTGTGTAAAAGTTCTTCATTTCTTGAAGGTGATGTTTCTTCAGCTTATTATTTACAGTGAGTAAAAAGGAGTCTTGATTTCTGAGGAAATTATCTGAAATGTCCAACACCAAAGTTGATGTTAGTACTAGAATTCCTGTAGCTAAGCGTTCTTACAATAGAAGTGTATTCATCGTCTAGTGATCCTCAGCAAATAGGGTGCTGCAAAGTTAAATGATCACTGGGAAGACTTCACATTCTTGTACAATAGAGCAGTGTATTTGGGATGAAAATACAGTTTGTGATACAGTTCGTGCATGAATTCAGATAACCGAGCACAGTGGCAGATAGTGGGAGCCATATCTGAAGGAATCTTGTCAAGTCTGTGGTGATGTTTGACATCGACTCTGTACAGCTGCCTGGGCTTTGGCTCTGCACAATCAGCTGCTCTTACCTGTGCTCAGGCTGAGAGGTGACTGCGTACTCACTAACGCTTGCTGTTCTCCCAGAGGACCCTGGTTGGGATCCCAGAACTCATGTCAGGTGACTCACAACTGGCTATAACTCAAGTTGGTGGGGATCTGAAGCCCTCTCCCCCAGCAGAGGCACACATGCCACATAGACTCACACAGACACATACCTATAAATAAATCTTAATATGTCTTGTGACTCATTTCAAGATAGCATACTTTTAATTTAAAACAAACTGGCATAAAATGCATTTTTTGTCATATTTTGTTCCTTGATTGAACTTTATTTAGCTCATGGGGTTTCTAGGTCAGCAGTAGATACTCTGTGGATAGTTACACAGCAGTGTCTCTGGAAATCGTCGTTACTCCAGGGCTGCTGAACTGAATTCAGTGAGGGTCTTTTGAAGGTTTTTTCTCGGAGACTAAGATGATACTTGCGATAGAGACCAGTTGGATTATATTACAACATTAAGCACGTCTTGGACTTTCTGTCTTCGGTGCCACCTCCTGAATATGTGACCTCTGGTAAAAGACCAAGAAAAAACATTATCAGAAGTCATGTGATACAATGCTCTTATTCCAGCATTCTCATGGTATCTGTGTGAGATCGCTAATTAATAATATTAGCTTATAACAACTCCAAGGGTTTGACTGTTTAAAACCAATTTTTTATTCACAATTGGCTCACTTAAAAATAAAATTCGAGGAGCTGGAGAGATGGCTTAGCCATTTAGAACACTTGTTACTATTGCAGGGGACTCAGATTTGATTCCTAGTACCCACATGGTGGCTCACAACCATCTGTAACTCCCATTCCAAGGGATCCAAACCCTCTTCTGACCTCTTTGTACATCAGGCACACACATGGTGCACATACACATGCAGGCAAAATACTCATACACATAAATCGGGAAAAAATTGAAAAATAAAATTCAAGAGTCAGATGTGGTGGCGCACACCTTTAATGCCAGCACTTGGGAGGCAGAGGCAGGTGGATCTCAGTGAGTTTGAGGCCATTATAAATTCTAGGACAGTCAAGTCTACATGGTGAGACTGTCTCAAAAAATAGATTGATAGATAGGTAGCCAGGTGTGGTGGTGCACACCTGTAATCTCAGCACTGGGAAGGCAAAGACAGGCGGATCTCTGTGGCTTCCAGACAGCCTAGGCTACAGAGTGAGGCTCAAAATAAAATGAAACTTGATAAGCAGTAACCATCTCAGTGTTTCAGTGAAATTAAACACGCTGGAATCTGAGCTAGAGGTACAAAACCTGAAGCCCGGGAGAGAACTCTCCAAGTAATAGACAGAAATTAGAAATAAATGTGTGCAAATAACGTGTAGAAGACCTATGTCCACTCTGGGAGGAATTAGGGGAGGGGTTGGAGTCAGAACAAAAACAATACATTGTGCACATACATGAAATTCTCAAAGAATTGATAAAACTATTGTATTAAAGAATGAAGACAACAAACATAGGAGCCACTTGGGGAAGGTGGCTGTATCTTCATCAGGGATGTCTTAGTCCTAAGGCATTTCTCCTCATTCTAACAGGAGAGACAAAGTAACGTCAGAAGTTGAACGAATCAGTCAAAAACTCTTCTGTTTTCCTGAAGTGCAGGTCAGACCTCCCTGCGCCGACCCCTCCCCTGACTGTGTCGCACAGCTGGCTGCAGACTACGTACTGTTGGTTACCGCCTGCACCACCAGCTTCATCTGGTACTGGGTTTCTGTCCGTCCCTCCATCCTTGACTACACATGGACGGGTTTTGAAATGATTCTGCCACACCAAGCTTATTCCGTCAGTAGTTATTTTACATATCCTATTTTTCCTCTTCTCCACTCACCTCTGCTCCTTTGTGTGAGTTGGGACTTATTGTCTCGGGACCTCAGCACAGACACCCCCTTTTCTGGGAAGCCTTCCTGTGCGCTCTCTCCTCTCTCTCTCTCTCTCTCTCTCTCTCTCTCTCTCTCTCTCTCTCTCTCTCTCTCTCTCTCTCTCTCTCTCTCTCTCTCTCTCTCTCTCTCTCTCTCTCTCTCTCTCTCTCTCAGTATACACTGCATGCTTTCTCCAAGGCTCACCGTCAGGCTATGCATTGGTTACTTAATGCCCAGCTTTCCCTTCAGAGGTGAGAGCTTGGAGATAAGGTCCCTGTCTTTCCCCCAAGGCCTAACACAACCTTGTGAGAACACATACCCTGTGAATATTTGAATAAGTGGGCATGAAGGCATCAGAAACCCCGCTTTTATTCTGTCGAGGGACGTCTATAACTTTAGTAAGGCAAATATTCCCACTTCAATGAACTGATTAAACTCTGAACAGTGCAGTCGCCTAGAAGCATCTTCATGCAGGGCCTCCCACACATAGATGGTTTCTCTGCCAACAGGAACGACTTACAAAACTGTTACAGTGCTAACCTTTGGAGACAGACATTAACATCTCAGCCTGAGGAAATAGCTCAGTAGGAAAAGGGCTTGCCAACTCAGGCACAAGGACCCGAATTTGATTCCCAGTACCCAATGTGAAAAAGCTGGGCATGGTGGTATGTGCTTGTCATCCCAGTACCTGAGAGGTAGAAACAGATGGATATACAGGTCTTGCCAGCCAGCTTCGCTAAATAGATGAGTCCCAGGTCAGTAACAAAACCTATCACTGTGACACACAAGGTGCACAGCTCCTCAGGCCCCCGTACCAACACACACACACACACACACACACACACACACACACACACACACACACACTCATAAACATGCATGGACAACTCACCATCAACTTAGCATTCTGCTTTCTGCAATGCTAGGAAATGCTCTACCATAGAGCTCCAGCCTAGCCCAGCATTTTGCTATCAATATGAACATTGAGTTGAAGAACTAACAGTTTATTGTAAGCACTTTAACAGGCTTTCTGAAAGCAATGATAAACCTGTCAAGTGACTGGGAGTAGAAATTCAAGCCAGAGAAAAATAGCACCACGTGAAGATATCTGGGGGACAAGTAAAGATTTAGCATCTCCTTCAAGCCACCTCACATGGTTGGCCAACTTTAACTTTACCTGTAGGACTTCCTTCAGATGTGAATCTGTAAAACCTCTTGTATAGTCTGGAGAGTTTGAGCAAGTTGCCCAGAGTTTCACAGCTAATGCAGGGTGTCACACTTGCACTCTCTTCCCATCTATTCCTGACTCCTGACCCCTTGTTTAACAGAGATGCCCTAGAGCCACCTTCTAGAGGGTGTTAATGCCCACCGATAGCCTCTGCAGTACTGGGACCTATCTGGCTGGGGCTGTCAACTCCTGGAGTTATGCAAAAGATCTAGACTGTGGGCAAAGCAACCTTGAAAACCACAAACTTCTTCAACTTACCTACCTGCATCAGCAAAGCAGTTTCCCTATTAGCACATATGCTCTGTATTTTCGTCACGTGACACCCACTCACCCACCCCTACACACACACACACACACACACACACACACACACACACCCCTGTCTCTAGCTACTGCACACTCACACAGGCAAACTCAATTCCAGCTAACCTTTTCCATCCACTGCTCCTTCTTCCTGCTTTCCCACCTCCTCTTCAGTCACCCTCACCTTCGCCTCATACTCCTCCGCCAGTGATTTCCATTCGGCTCTGTTATTCTGAAGGCCGTCCAGCATGGGGGTGATCTCTTTGTGAAACCGTGAGAACTCCTGCAGAGAATTTGAGGCCGGAAACTAGTTAATCACACAGCTGATTTTCAATAGTGTTCATATGTAGAAGAGAAGCTGGGAGGTGGGTGGTGCTTGGAGCTGCTGGGATGAGCCTGGGTGCTTCCAAAGCTTGGGAGAGGCAGGGGCTCTTTGCTGCCTGTCAAGTAGATCATCTGTGAGTTCTTGCACATTTTATTCCACCCTGAATAAATCAAAGTCAATGCTCAAAATACTAGGAGGACATGACCTGGTGATTTTCTTCACTAGTAACTTTGCTTCAGTCAACTTTTTGTTTGATTTTTAGGCAAGGTCTTGCCGTATAGCCCACATGCCTGAAACTTACCATGTAGTCCAAGGTGACTTTGAACTCTTGATCCCCCTGCCTCCTGAGTGCTAGGATTACAGATGTGCACCACCACACCTGGCTCACTCTAGTTATAGTTTGAAGGAAAAATTCTCATTTAAATGATTACACAGTTCATTCAAATAATTTGTTTACATACCTTATATACAAAAGTACAAACAAAATCAATAAATCCCACTTGAAGTTTGGGGAGTTCGTCTTTTTTGTTTCTGTCCATCATAGGCTAGAAGAGAAGTAAATTCTTTAAAGACGTTTTTCAGGGATTTAGGAATGGTTTTAATAAGTGACATGGTTATGACAAGGTCTTTACAATTGGTTGC